TATCTATCTGCTATGTCCCTTTATTTTTTTTACATATACGCGGATGGGGGGGGGGGGGGGGGGGGGGGCATCTTGGCTCACCTCCGGTGTAGACACCGCTGGACCTCAGGGGGAACTCCTGCCAGGGGCCGGACGCCTTGAAGTTGAAGCCCTCGTAGTTGTTGTAGCGGTGGGGGTAGTTGGAGGAGCCCGCCTGGGTGCCGGCGCGGACGTGCTGGCATGCGGCGTTGGCGGCGGCGTTGACCTGCGCCGTCGTGTAGTAGGTGCTGCCACAGGTTGTCGCGCGCTTCTCAATGGCGGAGCGCTCCTCGTTGGGCGAGGCGGGCGCCGCTTGCGCCGCGACGGCGAGGAGGGAGACAATGAGAGCCTTGAACTGCATGATGGCGACGAAGTGGAGGAGAGCTGCTTGACCGAGGTGCGAGATGGCGGAGATGATGGCTGTGATGATGTCTGCTTACAATCCGAGTTCCGGCGACACGTCCAGCTTTATAGACTTCTTTGCTTTCGCCTTCAAGGCAAGCCGCCTTCGCCTTCATCGTGGATGGTCTCACGAGATGGCGGACGCCTGCCATTCCTGTGTACTCGTCCGTCCCCCCTCTCGCGAATCGCCAGTCACGACGACCGAGCGTGTCCGCTTGGTGTACGCCTGGCGCGGTTCGCGGTGCCGATCACCAGATCGGAATTGGAAGGTGAGCCAGGGACCTTATCACGCATGCCCAGAGCCGGCGCTGCGGTTGGCTGAACGCTCCCTGGGACGACCCTTCGATGGTTTCATCTGCAGATGCCGCGCAGCGCCTGTTGACCATCTACCGATGAGACCTATTGGGGGCCACATTTCGGCGGGGAGATCTTCTTTTGGGTGGTGTTACCGGCATCCATTGTGATCGCCAGGGACACCCCAATTGCCTTCTGCCGGCCGTCTCCGCCTCCAACCCCGCAATCTGAGGTTCCCCCAGGGGTCGCGCTTCAATTGGTATCAACGGTTGACTGTCGGCATCCGCCGCAATCGGTGGTGCTGGAGCCAACGAGAGGTCGTTGAACTGCACGAGGCACGTATCTGGGGCGCGAATGGGGAAGGTAGTCCGGGGTGAGGTGACGATATCGGATCGTCGGCGCTGGTATCTCCGCCCGGCACGCTGTAGCTGCCGGCGGTATCATGCTTGTCAATTGACTGCGACAAGAATTAGGTGCCGGCTGTATCAATAGCCTCGTTTTCTTCCCGGGCTTTCAGGGGGCGAAGATAGTGGCCCTCCACGACGCTATTCTCCTGTTGTGCCCTCATCAGGGTTGTCCGCAGCCCAGATGTACGTGCCGCCGTTAACATCAGCCGTTTGGATCATGACTGCCGAACAGCTTGGTCAAAGATATAGCGCAAATTCCCTGCCTTGATCGAGTGACTTGGACTAGGAGCTATCACAACGAACAGACGAGCAGGGGCTCGATGGCACTGGTGGTTTTGAGTGTTCCCCGCTTGTGTCGCCAACAGCTGAAAGACGGAAGGGGCCGACGATAGCTGGCGGGCGGTATCTTGGGCTAATGGGATCAAAGCCGCTCTTGATCCCGCTTGATTTCCAGCATTCAATGTCGAAAAGGTGGTAAGCGGTAGGTTGCAGCATGGCGATCCTTCTGAGCTGGCTCCTTCCGGAAACGGGCCCACACGCCGGCGGCGACTTGCTCTACCTAGACAAAGGGGATGGTGTGCGCACGTCTGGCGCAATACAATAGTCTTGATGTCCGCCGGCATAGAGGAATTCGGGGCGGAGTAATTCAGTCCGTGAGATTAAATAAGGGCTATGAGAGGCTACTTTTGATGTTCAGTCTTTCAACTTTCCCCAAGGTCCGCAATGTCTTTCTCCGGTAGTTTGAATGTCCCAACCATGACAGCTTGCAGAGTTAATGAATGCTTCCTTCAGCTTTCCTGCCGAACGCGATGAAAATGGCATCTCCAGCGAGCAAGCCATATAGTGTTGCTGTTCACTAGCATGGATGTTGTTGGCTGTGTCTGAATCATGATGCTTGGTGTAAAGCATGCTGTGGGGTTGTTCTCATTCAACTAGTAGCTACATTTCGTGAACAGCATATCACACAGCTTACAGTGCCTCGACCAGACTTTCTCGCTTCCACTTCATGGCGAGATCGTTCAAAATGTAACGCATCAGAGCTTGTCCACATCGTTCTTGACCATTTCAGTGACGATGATCCAGGGACTATATATGCAGAGTTGCTTCCACGAACTTGTCAGTCCAGACCATTCTGTATCACCATTCATCAACAAATAGCCCTTTACACCAAGCTCAACACATCATGTATTCCCCTATCGCGCAGCCGGTGCTGGAACACCGCTTCAAGCTCGCCTTTTGGGAAGAAAGCCGGACTACGCAAACCGCTGTGCAAACCGCCAAGCGGTCCTTGCTCCGTGTCCAGGATGACTTTGCCAGGTTCACACGTACTCCTGCTCATGAAGAGGATAGGAAGAAGTACGCTGACTTGTACGCAGAGGCTACATCTGACGTCGAGAAGAAGGAGGGAAAGCTCCGACATCGCCTCCGCCAAAAGCTTCGCAACGAGACGGACGAACAAGTCACGCTTCGTCACGACAAGGCAGTTGCATTGCAATTCTACCCGAACCTCGTCAAACAGCTTGTCCTGGAGCTCGATGCCATTTCTGCCTGCCAGGAAGCGGTCGAGGGTAGACAACAGCGCCTGACGTGCAACAAAAAGATGCTTGACGGTAGAGAGCTGGTCCTGACCCAAGTCCGCGCCTGCCGTATCCACATCGATTGCTACATCGGTGACAAGACGGAGCTTTACGAAGAGTGGATGTCTCTCGAAAAGGAAGTCATGGACGCTATGGAGGGACAGAAATTATGCGCACACTGCCGAAAGATGGAGAAGGAAAGGAAGAAGAAAGAAGCCGAGTCCTCCGCTTCGGGCGAAGGTCCTGCAGGTGAGAACAATGCTCCCGTCGACCCTGTTGCAAACAACAGCACCACTACTCCACCTACGGAGGCTGAGGTCCTCGAGAAACTCAAGGCCACCAGGGTTCTTTTGATGAAGGATCTCAACATATTCATCCGATTCATCGACATCATCAAAAGCGAGGAGCAGGTCCGGGCTGCGCACGTGAAGTGGCTGCTCGAAGCTGACCTCAAGCGCATCTTCAACAGCGAGCGCATGAAAGCGGGCATGGAACTCATGAAATGATGCGCATGAAGACCACAAGCCAGTTGGTAATTTTTTTAAAGTTTTTTTTTTCTTTTTTTTTCTTTTTTTTTTTTTTTTTGGCTTTCGCCGAGGATGTTTGCCTCGACAGCTTTGGCAGAATATGCTGTCTCGGACTCCTGGCGCGTGTCATTAGCGGTCACAGTCGGCCCCAAAGGGTCTTAGTGCCAGCCCTCACACGGTCATATTCACCTTACGGCAGCTATTCGATTGAGCTGACAGGATATATGTTGAATCAATGTTGTTGATTCAACTGGGCTGCATTCTAGAGGTATAGGTTCCCAGGCCTGTACAACGTCTACGGTCTGGCCCGTAACATTAGTATTTCCTTTGTACGTACCCTGTTACTAAGCAGATAGAGAAAATGATGAATCACAAGATTCAGCCATTATGCGGAAATGATTCTAGTGTGATTTCTGTAAGAAGTATGTTCTTATCTTGAGTGTTTCCTTCAAAACTATGATTTCTCGTCTCGTGCGTAATTCCACAGTGAATCCAAATCAAACACTGTTTTACTTGCCAATGAGTGAATGATAAATGACCTTGACAAAGTAACGTAACTCAAAGCAAAGTAACGTAACGGAGGGTACCTAGTTCACGTCTGCCCTTGGACATTGTCGGCATAATACGAGGTTTGCCGTCGGCGCGGAGAGAATGGCGCTGACTCATCAGTAAGTATCGGTTGCCACTGTAGCCTGCACCATCTCACTGCTTCTTCTTCCTCCACCATACATCCATCATCCAACTATCCACCCACCAGGCACTTGAATACTACTCGAGATCCGATCCCACCCTTCTTCACACAAGCAAACTGGACTCCGAAATCATGGAACGCCTTATGACCCCCGCCGTCTACCGAGATGCAGAAATTGTGTACAATTATCACCACATGAACATGCCCCTCCCTTCCAGCCCCGCCACGGCGGTATTCTGCCTCTGCAGCCTGGACGTGCGTGTCGCCACCCGCGCCGCCCAACTCTTCCTCAACGGCGTCGCCCCACTGTTGATCTTTTCCGGAAACACGGGTGCCCTGACCGCCGGTCTGTTCGACAAGCCCGAGGCGGAGTTCTTCGCCGATATTGCGCGCGGCATGGGCGTACCGGATGCTTCCATTCTGGTGGAGCCCACGGCAACGAACACGGGAGAAAACGTCCGGTTCACGCGGAAACTGCTCGAGGAACGGGGGGTAAACGTCGAGAGCTTCATATTGGTGCAGAAGCCGTACATGGAGAGAAGAACGTACGCCACGTTTCTGAAGCAGTGGGGGGACGAGACAACAGGCTTCACGGTCACATCGCCTGAAATGTCGTTCGAGGAGTATCCCGACGAAGCGAACCCGAGAGGCTTGGTGACGAGCATCATGGTTGGCGACCTGATTCGAATTCGCGAGTATCCGGCGCGAGGCTTCCAGGTTGAGCAAGAGATCCCGGACGAGGTCTGGGATGCCGGACAGAGACTTATCGCTGCTGGGTACGACAGGCACTTGCCTTAATCTCGGGGGCCGTCTTTCGCTCAATCGAGTTCCCACACAAGTGGCGGTTCACCTCTTGTGGCTCGCCAGCGATTTGTTGCCATCATCAAGTCTTGACAGCCCTTGAAAAGGAAGCGCCAGTTCCGCAGCATACCCTCAGTCACTTCCCAACCATCCGGACCCCATGGATCCGCCCAAACGATCATCCCGTCCGCACCCGTCCGTCCGCCAGAGAAGGTGGCGCAATAGTCCGCTTGTGAGAACTGCCCGATGGCGCGGATAGCGTTATCTCGCATGCGTGGCGAGGGCAGGATGTCAATCCAGGGCGGGTGCAGCGTGGTGAGCTGTAGAGACGTCGGAGCCAGAGATTCGGGGAGGGCGCGGGGGTAGGGGAAGAGGGGCATCGTTTTGTAAGGGCTGCCAACGCAGACCAAGCTTGTAATGGCTAGAATGGCAAGATTGGTGTGGCTCGCCCGCTTGACATTGTATTGAATGAGGGGAATGAGATGATCAGTTGATAACGGAAACTCGCTCTTGAGAGGGTCAAACGACAGGGGTTTGAAGTTGCCTGCACTGATGGCGAAAATGAGCATCTCACCAGCCACAGTTGATGGGGAGATTTGATGCTCGCGTGGCTGGACATGGTGCTCTCTCTTTACTATCATAGCCCGAGCCTCGGCCTTACGCTTCCCTGTGCAGATGGTGAGTTTGATGACCGCCAAGTCACACGACTGAAACGTACGATGAGCTCTTACGTTGAGCCGTGTCTGGCGTTTCTTCCGCTCAGCCCTGTCTTTGAGGCCGGTCCAGTTATCGTCGAGGCATTTGGCTCCCTCGAGCTGGGACATTTGGCTGATAGAAACAGACATATTGTCCAAAGTGGAGACTCGTCAGATATCTGGACGGTGAGTTGTCTTGCTTTGTGCCTCACGTCCTGGCAGGTAAGCTCCAGTATTGCGAGAGTTGAAGGGATCCGATGTCGGCTGCAGGAGTTCACCCGGTTGTTAACGCTGAGTCGTGAAAATCGGACAGTTGAGCTGTAAACAGGTCTGTTTGAGGCGAAAACCAGTATGGCGATGAGACAAACGGGAAGATGGTGGACGAGACGTCAACGGCGGCGGAACGTTGATGAATGTAAGGCGAGTGCATGAGAGGAAGTCCGGGGGGGGGGGCATTAGAGAGTATGCAGGCGGCTTACAACGCTAAGCCGGATCAGGACGAGACCCTGGTCATGTCCCATCAATCAGCTTCAAGCTGACAGCATGAACAAAGGCAATGCATTTGTAAGGCGGAGTTGTGTACGAATTTCCCGGATCATCTGAAGGTCCGATTCTCGAGACCTGTGAACAGGGACGATGTGCAGCAAATATTAATGTACTGCTGACACCCTTAGTCAATGATGAAGAATTCGAGGTAGTACACAATCAGTTCAAGCAAAATGAGGCATATAAACTAACATCACAAGCTAAACGTACAGGCGCCGTGCTGCAAAGCCATGAATCGTCATATCAAGGGCAAAACCAGCAATACGTCGCCACAGCCCGATCAACGATTTGCGACATCATATTTACAGATCTAGCCTTCAACCTTCCATTGAAATAGTACCAAACACCATCTGATCTGGGATCTGCAGCTAGAGGGGCCACCTGCAGCCCTACATATGTCTCTGACACGTCGTACTCTTGTACATGAGATTTGCAGACACCCCGTTCAGGGCTTGGAATGCTCGGCTCAAGCTCGTTCATCGTACTGTGCAGCATTCCGTATCTTGGCATGCTTCCTATCGACTGATTTTCTCCATGCCATCTTCCTTCACCCACGACGGCCCAAGGTCTACTGGTGACAGCTTTATTGGAAAATCTTCATCTCCTCGCGAACGCTGGTTATCACAATACACGCTGCAATTGCCAGGCAAGAATCCTTCCACACTCGCGAACTTCAGTTCCCCGCTTCGCCAGCCTCAAAGGCTCTCAAAATGGCCAAGCTGACCACTGGATAAGACATAACCTTATCATGCAGGCCCCATTTCACGATTTCTTCCCTGATGAGCCCCCTCTTGCCCTGCTTTGTGGCAACCCAGCCACCAGCACCGAGATGCTGCTTGTTGCTTTCCTTTTCCTTCTCGAGGTCTTCGTAGCTTATTCCCATGGGCGTGGCGGCATTGGCGGCGTGCCAAAACACCTGCTCACTGTGGGACCACGGAATGTCGTAGTCGTCCTCAGCGTGAATAATGTTTATGTGATATCTTGCACCGTCATCGGGTAAGCTTTCTACTCGACGAATAAAGCTTGCAAGCTTATCCTTGCTGGGCCATGTGCTGAGGATGAAGGTGTTGAGGAGAGCGAGAAGACACGGGAAGTGCGCAAGGGGATCCAGCAGTGGGATCGTGCCAGCTACTCTGTATGTAGCAGTAAGGAGCTCAACGTCCGCAAAGGGAGCCACGAGGACCATGCCTGAAAGAAGTATAGGCTGAGGGAGCGCTGCCAAATATTCTGTCAAAGCAATGCCCACTGCAGTACCGAGAGATTGGCCAAAGATGACAATCCGCGAGGGAGGAATTCGTGCCTCCTTCAAGGCCCAATTAACCAGTGTCAGAGCGTCTGTCAAAAGACCCTCCTCAGAGGGTGTGCCAGAGCTGGCGCCAAATCCTCTGTAATCGATGGCCACAGTATGGATGTTCCTCGGCGATGCGGCGTATATTGCGCGGTAGCTTGCGGGTCGCCAGCCGGAGCCTAGAGTGCTGGCCGCACCGTGAAGATAAATAACCAATGGGGCGTCAGGATCATCGCGCAGGAGCTCGAATCCGAGAGTCTTTGAAATGTCGGGCGCGATGCCTGACGGCTCCTCGACGAGTCGTTGCTCGTGTTTCTGGTAGAGGCCTAGGGGCAGGATATGCCAAGCGTGCAGCGTCTCCCCATCCGGTGTGTCGAGCGTGAAAGGAGTGACCTGGTTAAGAAGGAAGCCCCATTGCTCGGGGATACCTACATCTTGAAACCAGATCAAGGTGACACGGTTGAGGTAAATAACCTGGTTTTGGAAGAATGGCGATGGTGAGAAGACCAATGAATGCCGCATACGAAGCGAGAGATCCGGCAAGGACGTAGAAGGTGATTGCCAACGGCGAATGTGAGCCTCCCGTCTTGGCGATTGTACCTGACCGATATGGCTGAGGGCCTGACGCAACTCGACGAGAAAACGCGATTCGTGGCAAGCAGGTTAATAGAAAGGATCGTTGCTCGATGGGCGGCTACAGCGCATCCCAAACGACAGGTTCCCGATGAACCCTTACGGTGCCCAGGAATACTGCGTCCGCTTCGCCACACTGCTGTTCACCGGGATGCACATAGCCGGTTGGAATTTCGCCTTCTCCAATCAGCTTGAGCGGATTCTCTGGAGGGTAACAAGTTTGATTTTGTTCGGCGTCACGGCTGCATTCTGGGCCCTGGAGACGATGGCTTCGTGGGTTCGACTCGGGCGATGAACTTGGCTTTATCTCCGAATATTTCATCCGGGAAAGCTTCAAGAATTCGAAAGTGCAAGAGAGCAGAATGCAAGAGGAAACACATGAGCGTGAGCCAACACAGCTACCGTTGCCGTGGGAGTTCTGGACAATTATGCCAGTTGCAGTGCTATATGGGTTGCACGAATGTTTCAAATCATTGAGGCCTTTTTGGAGCTGAGCACGCCGAGGTCACCGCTTTTGTCAGTGTCAATTGGTCTTCGTACATACCCCATATCTGAAATACATGCTCAATGGTACTTTGGAGGCGCAGGCTTACCTGTGCCTACGCTCTTGCGACTGGATGTGTACAACAAGATGAAGTACCCGGAACATCGGCCTTGAGCTACCTGCTCATCCCTCAGGGATCTACCACGAATGAACCCTCTTGTATGGTTCCTCGTGCGTCAAACAAGCCAAAAGAACACGACAATTACTGCTCAGGGACGAGGTGTGGTTGATAGGTTCCCCGGTATAAGTCAGAATTGGCCAATCACAGCGCCGCAAAATGGGATGACGACTAGCGACACCTTGATGGACACCTTTTCCTGCATCGCGAACACCCTGATGGCATGATTGCATTGTGTAGCACCGATGAAGATATGATAGTAGCTCGCTGGTCTGAAAGCACCTGTTTCAGCGTGTATAAAATGATGGGCGAGAAGGGTGTGAGTCGTGGGCGCAGCGAGCCAGCCCTGCTCATCTTACATCCATCTTTCACAGCGCACCTCTTCAGGATTGGATTCGAATCAAGCGATTCAAAATCAAAATGGCCATCACAAAGACGAAGAGAAATATATCCTCCTTCTCCAAGTCCAAAAAGAACAGCAAGGTCCCGGAAAAGGCATTGCCTGTAACCCTGCTTTCAGGCTTCCTGGTATGGCAACCAGAATCATCTGGCTACCCATGCGTCTTGGACCCCCTCCCTAACATCAGATAGGGTAGTGGTAAAACCACACTCCTCCAGCATATTCTGAAAAGCGACCACGGCCTGAAAATCGCCGTCATCGTCAACGATATTGGAGCGTAAGTCACCAAGAACCCGTAAGCTCCCTTCATACGACAAAGACTAACATAAGTGGCCTACAGCATCAACGTCGACGCGTCCCTGATAAAACAAACTCACAAGGTCACAAGAACAGAAGAGAAGGTTGTCGCACTACAGAATGGCTGCATCTGCTGCACCCTCCGAGGCGACCTCCTTGAGGAGCTAGTCAACCTCGCTGAACAGCATGCCTTTGACTACGTCATCATCGAAAGCAGCGGCATCAGCGAACCCGAGCAGGTCGCTGAGACATTTGACAACAAGCTGGCAGACCAAATGAGAAGTATGGTCGACCAGGCCGATGGACTCGATGAAAGCACTCTCAAGGTGCTGAAGAAGCTGTGAGCTCATGAACAAGCCGCGTATCATTGAACTGTGGCTGACAAGTCATCTAGGGCGAAAGTCGGCGGATTGGAGAAGTTTGCCCGTCTTGATACTGCTGTCACCGTCATCGACGCGTTCACCGTGTACAACGACTTCCACACCGACCAGCTTCTCTCGTCGAGGCGAGACGATGTCGTGCCTGAGGATGAGCGTACCGTCTCCGACTTGATGGTTGACCAGATTGAGTTTGCTGATGTCATTTTGTTGAACAAGACCGACATGGTAAGCGCTGTCGCAAGCTGAACAGAATATTTATAGCGCTGCTGACAATGCAAATCTGCAGGTTGATGCTCAAACGCGGGCCAGTTTGATTGAGCTCATCAAGAAGCTGAACCACAGGGCAAAGATCCTGGAGACGAGCTACGGCAAGATTGATGTCAAGGAGATTGTCAACACTGGGCTGTTCAGCCTGGAGCAAGCGCAGACCGGTTACGGATGGCTGCAGGACCTCCACGATATGACCGTCCGAGAGGTGAGTCGTTCCGCGCGAAACCGTCTTGATCATCACTCATTCACACATCATAGGTCAACGGAAAGAAGACCATCACGCCCAAGCCTGAGACGGAGGAGTATAACGTTAGGAACTTTGTCTACTCATCCCCACGCCCATTCCACCCACGGCGGTTGTGGCAACTTTTGTATGACAAGTTCATCCTGCAAATGCAGCATGAAGAGGAGGAGGAACCGGAAAAGATGGAAGTCGACCCTGAAGACGTCGTCAGCGAAGAGGAAGACGAAATCATGAGCAACGAAGAAGAAGGGGAAGAAGAGGACGGGCTCGACATGCCCCCTAACGATGTCATCCTCGCCAACAAACGAGCGCATCCCTTGTTCAGCCGCCTGTTCCGCTCCAAGGGAGAATTCTTCCTGGCGACTCGTCCAGGCAGGGCTGGCGAGTGGTCACAAGCCGGCGCTATGCTGACTCTCATCGGTGGGAGGCCGTGGTTCTGCACTCTTCCTGAGGAGGAATACCTGACTGGGAACAAACAAATCGATTCTCTCGTGAAGCACGACATTGCGAAGGGCGGTGAATGGGGAGACAGGCGTCAGGAGCTGGTTTTCATTGGAGAGAATTTAGACGTTGAGGCTCTCCGGGACGTCCTCGACCAGTGCACTCTGACCCGCGACGAGATGGAAGACTGGTCTCGGGTGATGAGGAACGGAGTTCTCAGTGAAGAGAAAAAGGCAGAGGCGCTGGAGGATCTCTTCGAGGACGGCTTCCCCGATTGGCCTGATGAGATCGATGACGAAGACCACGAAGGCCACGATCACGGCCCGGTGAAACGCAAGTAATCTGTTAGGCCCCCTTTCCTCACTCAAAAGGTTTCTCGGAAAATTGTGGCGTTTACTTCTAGGCAGTAAATCCATAGTGTGTTGAAGGAGCCTAGCTCCTCCAACTTGCTGTTCTTGTACGTGTTTCTTTTCACATGCTGTTGGTTGAATTCAGATATTTTGTTACTAACTAATCATGTGTCTTTCAGCACTTGCCCGCATTTACTCCGTGCGTCCTCTAGAAGCCTCCGGTCATGCGGGCATGGTGTTGCGGCACGGCAGCTTACGAGGTGGTCTAGCCCAACGGGACGGGATTCAAGGACAGCCAAACCGAGGCCAATGACCAAAGATATTTCGCCTCTCATACTACAAATCCACTTTCCTTCCACGTGAAAGCTGAAATTACCATGTGATGTCGAAGAATGCGGACGATGAGCACACCCTCAGGCTCCCGAAAGGCGCCGTCGAAGCCGCCAGTATGCAGGACGGGCAGCCAGGAGGCGACAGGAAAGCTCAAGATGGTGTGAGGCGTAACTCATAAGAGATTGTGTTAGTTCTCATCCTTCTGCCCGACAATTGCATGATGATCTACCGTGTCTCAGTTGAGCTAAAAGAAAGCTCGACCGTTACAGGCATGCTGCGCGAGCTGGAGCCGGCAGCATCCGGGTGCCTGGTCCTGACCTGCGGGCAACATCTGGGGGGATTTCCGAAACGATTCTCAACGCTCGCCGCCTTGGGCGATGGCGTTGCGGACCATGGTGGGTTTATTGATGACGATCTATTCCTGGTGTGGTCAAGGACGCACATCCCCCCCTCACTTCCAATCCAAATGAGGATATAACCCCTTGGGAGGCTAGCAACCCACCTCAAGTTGGTTGGCATCGCTGACTGTAGCTGAGCCAAGGCTGAGGTTGCCGTCTTACACGACTTGCAAGCGTTTGCGCAAAGCACACAGTCGTGGTGTTCTCAAGGTCTCATCGCTTGGTGCCTAAAACACTCTGGATAGGATACGAACTCATTTTGCGACGTTCGAATTTGCCAGCCATTGTGAACAGCACTGGAGTGCTTGTGCGCCTCACCGCCAACACTCAACATGGCGCTACACAATTGTCACATTTCGGACCTTGCGCCGGAATTCCCTGCTTCGCCCAAGGCTTGCACACGAGGACAACGCAAGATGACGGCCTACAGCTTCGATGTTGGGCGGCAGAGACGCTGTAGAGCTACCTTGTCACCCCTGCAGGGAAACAAACTAGGCTGTTCTAGGAGTCAAAGCCGGTGCCCTTGCTGCCATCGCATATCTGCTCCCCGCACTTGGTGACCTACCGAGCTGCTCCCCCGCAAAACGGCTTCCCACTTTTTAGCTTGAGCTTGGCCAAGATGCACCACATGACGACGTGGGGGGGGCAGACTCGGACAGAGTCAAGGTTCCGAGGGGCGTCTGAGTCGTTGCGCTTGGTGTTGACTCGATTTCATAGCTGTTGTTCCTTTTTTTCTCCTGGTCAGCCCCTCCTTTTGTTCAGCCTTGTGGTTGTTTTCACATTCACATGTCTGTCGAACTGCTTCGTCAGGTTCCTCGGCTTTTGGACCTTCGCTGATCTTCGATTACTATGAGTTCCGCAGTCCGATGGCAACGGTGTCATGGATTGGCGAATCAGGCGGCCCTCATCAACCCCAAGCGCGTGTTCTCCCCTCGATCTGGGCACTGCACCACAGGGATCATGCCGTGCAACCTGAGCTCGCACTCTGGGGAATCCCCACGGGGAATCTAACGGATGAATGACCATGACACGGCGTACATGCACTCCGCGATGTCGAAAGCGGATACGACGGGGGGATGGGTCGGGGCCAAAGAAAAAAAAGGTTGGTCTGGCCTGGGGCCCCGGGCACTGGACATCCACAGCCTGGGATTCTCGCGATGATCCCAATATGATAAATAAAGCAGGGTCCCGCTCACAGAAAAACATTTTTGCTCGACTCAGCTCCCATCTGCCTCAGTGGTAGCTCAAGTCAGACTTGCCAGCTCACTTTTACACTCCGCTCCCCCCCCCTTTGTTGGGTCTTTCCGAGCTCTTCTTGCCTCCAGCTTGCCAGTACACGGAGATTTTCACGATGTTGTTCAAGCTTCCGATCCTCCTCGGCCTCCTGGGCACTGTTGCCGCGCAGTCCGATGCGACTCCCGCCCTCGACGAGCGAGCCGCTGGCACCGCAACTGTCGTACTGCCGCTGGCCACTGTCCTCGGCAACGTCATGAACAAGGTCGAGTCGTTTGGCGGAATCCCCTTTGCCGAGCCGCCGGTGGGCAGGCTCAGGCTGAAGCCTCCGCAACGCATCGCGAGGAACCTCGGTACCTTTGACGCCACCGGACCGGCGGCGGCGTGCCCCCAGATGGTGTCGTCGAGTGAGAGTGAAAACTTTCTCTTCAACCTTCTGGGCGATATTGCCAATTTGCCATTCGTGCAAAAGGTCACGGGCCAGACAGAAGACTGTCTGTCTATCACCGTGGCCCGACCTGAGGGCACCAAAGCGGATGCGAAGCTTCCTGTGCTCTACTGGATCTTTGGCGGCGGGTTCGAGGTAAGAAGTCTCGGGGCTTGTCAATTGGGGATTTCGAATCACTAACATATTACACAGCTCGGCTGGTCTTCGATGTATGACGGCACAGGGCTCATCAAGCACGGCGTCGACCTCAAGAAGCCCTTCATCTTCGTCGCCGTCAACTACCGCGTTGCGGGCTTCGGTTTCATGCCCGGCAAGGAGATCCTCGCCGACGGGTCTTCGAACCTAGGCCTCCTCGATCAGCGCATGGGTCTCGAGTGGGTGGCCGACAACATCGCCTCGTTCGGCGGCGATCCCTCCAAGGTGACCATCTGGGGCGAGTCGGCGGGCGCCATCTCCGTGTTTGACCAGATGGCGCTCTACGACGGCGACAACACGTACAAGGGCAAGCCCCTCTTCCGCGGGGCGATCATGAACTCGGGAAGCATGGTGCCGGCGGACCCCGTCGACTGCCCCAAGGGCCAGGCCGTGTACGATCTCGTCGTCAAGGAGGCCGGGTGCGCCGGCCAGGCCGACACGCTCAACTGCCTGCGCGACCTGCCGTACCAGACGTTCCTCAAGGCCGTCACGGCGCCGCCGGGCATCCTGTCCTACAACTCGGTGGCGCTCTCGTACCTCCCGCGGCCGGACGGCAAGGTGCTCACGCAGAGCCCGGACATGCTGGCGGCGACGGGCAAGTACGCGGCCGTGCCCATGATCATCGGCAACCAGGAGGACGAGGGCACGCTCTTCGGGCTCTTCCAGCCGAACCTGACGACGACGGACCGCTTCGTCGACTACCTGCAGCAGCTCTTCTTCAACAGCGCCACCAAGGCGCAGCTGACGACGCTCGTCAACACGTACGACAACGGCGTCGCCGCCGTCCTCGCCGGCAGCCCGCACCGCACCGCCCTCCTCAACGAGATCTTCCCGGGCTTCAAGCGCCGCGCCGCCGTCCTCGGCGACCTCGTCTTCACCCTGACGCGCCGCGCCTTCCTCTCCCTCACCAAGGCCGCCCACCCGGACGTGCCGGCGTGGTCCTACCTCGCCACCTACAACTACGGCACCCCGATCCTCGGCACCTTTCACGGCTCCGACATTCTGCAGGTCTTCTACGGCGTCCTGCCCAACTACGCGTCGCGCCAGATCCGCACCTACTACACCAACTTTGTCCACGACCTTGACCCCAACGTCGGCGCCGCCGCGCAGTACCCGAACTGGCCGCGCTGGGACCAGGGCAAGAAGCTCATCAACTTCCTGGCCAACAGGGCCGGCGGCCTGCTGGACGACAACTTCAGGAGCGACAGCTACGACTTTATCGCCAGCAACGTCGGGGCTTTCTACATTTAATGACACAGGCCTGTGCTGAGAAGCCGGCGGGCGATTCAGTTCACAAGGTTCGCAGGGGGTGTTTTGGAGGGGTCGGAGTTTCAGGGGTGCATTGGCTCTGCGTTTTGCGAGCGATAATAAGGGAATCACGGGGACCGAAGCATAGGGTTTACGAGCAAGCCGTCCTTAGGTGTTCGGCATGAGAATATGAATGGCATCTTTGTATGACGAGTCGTCCGATTAGACTTTGCCGATCCGTCATGCTCGTGTTCGGTCGGACGTGGGCGAGGTCCACCGGATCGGCCTGTCTGAGTTCACAAAGTTTCCACCGTCTTGGCCCCAGGTGAGACACTGACTGATTGACAGATACCTTCGACAGACGAAATGTGGCCATCAGATAAGTAGACAGACTCACGACCGAGTCATCTAGCGGTCAACCGCCAGCATCATGTCACACCTTTCCTGTCGCGAACCCGATCTGCAATGCGTCTGCCAAGTGAATCTCTGCATGACCTAAGCAGCAGTCTCTCCGATTAGTATCCTCAGCAAAGCGCAGCTCGCTACCAGGCCAAGACGTGCATCCCACGTTGAACGACCCCAAAAGTCACTCTGGCACGGAGGCGGGATTCGAGTAGGGAATAGACTCAGAAGTCAATGTATGTACAGATGGCCCGCATCACATGGGCCAGCCTCCCGAACTACCTAGGTGTATATATATATAAAAAACTCGGAAAGGAATAAAAAAAAAAACACGAAACCCAGTGAGGCCGTGTTCCAACAAAGCGCCTGCAGACCTCGTGAGGTGCGGCTGCGAAGGTGGGGGGGGGGGTATGCATAATCTTTTTTCGCCATGATCCGGTACGCCGTCTTGTCCAACAAATACTCCCATGCCCCCAGCCCCAGCCAGCTGGTGGTCCTGGCTCCCAGGTCTAGCCCGGCCTAATTCCTTCTCTGCGTCTCTTTCTCCTTGCTCGAGTGCGTGATGCGGTGGCCCCAGTCGCGGACCCGACGACAAATGGACTTTCTCTTCTGCAGCTTTGCCGATGCGCCGATAGCCAGGATCTTCGGGTCCTCGACCTCATCGCCCTCGGTGGGCGTCTCGTTCTGAGGTGGCGACTCGTTGCCCTGTCTCGCCAGCCGCCGTTGCATGTACGCCGCACCCATGGACAGCGACCGCTTAGGCGCCGAGTTCGTCTGTGGCGGCGTGACTGATACGGGTGAGGAAGGACGGCTGGCCTCCGAGGCCGACATGGGAAACGTTGAAGCGCGACTACGGTCGGAACCCATGCTCGTAGTGCGGGCGCCGCCGGTTGTCCGCAGCGTCGGGCGAGGTGCACGCATGGGCCAGTTCTGATTGTTGCGCAGCGATACCCAGACCGAAGTCACGGTGATCAGGGTACGAGCGACGTCGTCCATGGCCCGCATCATCTTCTGCCGAGGCGGTTCATCCTCGTCCTCGTTTGCCTCGTCGTGAGGCTTGGAAAGCGTGACATAGTGATCCAGAACCTCGAGGTTCGAAGATGTCAGGGTCGCCATGATGGGGTGTCGTCTGGTGGTGGGGTCGATAAGGCTGAAAATATACTTCGAGTCCGGTGTTGGTGGCGGCGAAGGCGCACCAAAGCTATCCCTCTTTGCCTTGACGCCCTTCTTCACCCACCTCGCCGTCTTGGTGACGCCGCTCTCATCAACGTGCACAAACTCGTACGAGCCATTGCCCCACGGCTTACCCATCCACACAGAGCCATCGGCAAGCACAATCTCAACCTCGTCGGCCGACTCCCGTCGCTCACCTTCCTTTCGCGGCGTGATGGGGGAGATGATGGCGACGAGGTCCCTCTTGTCGAGATCTTTGGCGTTCGTGTCCTCGTCTTGGTCCTCTGGCAGGTCATAATTTTCACTCTTGGCGAGCACAAGATCATCCTGGGCCAGGTTGCCCTTGACGTTGAACATTTTGGGGCAGTGTTGCACCAGGCGTGGGATGATGAGCGAGCCGGCCAAGACGCTGGTGGGCAGGACATCGAGGGTGGGTTTTGGCCGCCTATCGGCCGATAGCTGCTGCAGCTGGAGCATGACCCTGGGCCGGATCTGCACGAAGCGTCGCTGCTTGGTGACCTTGCGCGGGGGTGGGTAGGCGAGCAGGAAATTCGTGGCGAGTTTGGAGCTGCTCCGCGGTCTCCTCCTCCTCCTGATGGTGCCGCTCTGGCTTGTAATGTCGCTCATGACGTCGGACACGACCGACTCATCTTCACTAACACTGCCATCAAGAGAGAGTATGCTCTGGCCACCGACAATAATGGGCTCTTCGTTGAATCGTACGATTTGTTCTTTCCTTGGCGCAATATCAGAAAAGGGCCGAGGTCTCCTCGTTGCTGGCAGAGGCGACAGGATTGGCGCGCTCAGCGACTGTCGGCGCGATGGCAGGTCGGTTTCGAATGGGGCAATCGGGGATGGACTTGTCGGGTGGCCGAAAGCGGATCGGAGGCGGTGGGCAGCGTTGGCGGAAGGTGAGGGCGAAGGTGAGGGGCTGTTGGAGGGGGATCTGTTGGAGAATTCGTGGCCGTGCATCGCAGCCCCCGAGTGAAGGAACATGTCTGGCGACTACCTAGACGGTGCCTCGGAATCGCCAGCACGCTGATGTGGGACTGCGCAGCGAACGTGGCGGACGAGTAAAAGAGTGCACTCGTCAAGTCCGATTGATGAGCATATGCCCTCTTCCACAAGGAGTGGTGTGAGGAATTGGGTATCGTCGAGCCAGTCGGGGAAGGGCGTGAGTTGCTGTAAGTGTGGGTGTGGCAGCAGATATAACCGTTTCCGTGTAGTATCGGATAGCTCGGATTTCCGTCGTGCGTCGTGAGGAACGAGGGGAAAGGAGGGGTCGCAAGCGAAAAGGTTAAAAAAGCGAAGAAAAAAAAACAGGACCGTGGAAATCGTGAGAAGTGAAGAAAGGACGGAATGACAAAGAAGTGAAAAGGGACAGTCGACAAGAGGAGAGACGAAGGTTTACGTCGGTAGGTTGGATGGTTGCACAAGGTCGAGCCGAATCGTTGTACTTGGGGCGACCGGTCAGCTTGTCCTGAGGCTCAGCAAATGACCGAGTCGGATGAGCAACGGAGACCCCGTTGCGAAAGACCCGTAGCGCAGCTGAAGAGCCGGAATTGTGCGCTGATGTGAGGAGCTGCGAGGCTTGTGCAGGCGTTTCGCGTGGGCGGATGACAGAAGGATGATCTGCTGACGGGAGGCTGCACCCAAGCTGGCGAGCTCCGACTCAGGCTAGGGGCACAGGGAGGTTAAGGGGTGTTTAGGGGGGGGGGACCTGAGGGTTAGGGGGCTTGGAGAGGGGAAAGGAGACCAATGGCGTGGTGCCGAGACAGAAGGGGCCTGTGAACAGTGGCCGGGCCAGTTGATGATTCGTCCTTTCGGGGGCGCAGCTTCCTTCAGGGTGGAAAATGGAAAACGGGGGGCGTCGTGGTTGGGTCGTGTCTGCCCTGTGATCTGTGGTTGGTTCGCCTGAGACGAAAGCTTGTGGCTTCTGGTCCGTCTGTCTTTGTGCTCTTGTCGGCCGGAGCGAAGAGAACAGGCGAAGAGCGAAAAGGTGGAAAAGACGACACACGTCAGGACAAACGGGACCGAACGAGTATGTGTATGCAATGGCAAGGAAAGGCCCGGATGGTTTCTTGTGGAGGAACCAGGACGATGGCTGTTGCCTGCCAGTAGGTAATGGCCTGTACCTCAGGTACCTGCCGTGGGACCGGTGCCTTTTCTCTGATTTGTGCCGAATGCGATGGGATCGGACCTGGGCTGGGACTATCCCGAGTAAGGGACGACCTGGGGGACCCTGGCTCCAGAGGCAGGCTGAGGTGGAGACGCTAGTCTGGAAAAGACCACTAGCGTGCGGCACCCGGCAGCTGTCCTTCTCGCCTTTGAGGAGGGCTCTTTCTAGATGCAATGCAGCTGCTACGGCTGTCCCTGGATCGTCAAGTCAGGAGTAAGAGCAGAGTCGTTGATGCCTGCTCCAGAAGTCGAGCCCTTGGAAGTCGGGCACTTGGAAGTCGAGCTCTGGAAGTCGAGGTGGAATCCAAAGCCTGGACGGTGAAAGTGAAGAGAAGCGGCGCCAGTGCACGGAAGACGCGGTACAATGGCAGGCGGCTTCGGTTCGCCCGAGGATCCGTCTGGACGGTGGATTGCAAGTCTGCGATCCTCGACCCTTACAGCAGGGAATTGCGGGTCGTTCGTCTTTTCTTCGTTCGCGTTCCCCGTCTGGCGTTCGTTCATGCAGTGGGTCTGCCTGCCAAGTGGAGGAATGGAGCTGACGGCGAGATGGTATTCTCGTCTCTCGATGGAGAGGGCGCTGTCGATCCCAAAACTCGGCGGCCACAAGCAAGGACCGCAGGTAGGCAAAGCGTCGACAGCTCGATCAAGGCAACGAATGCTGCGTTTGGGACCTTGACGCGCACTGACTGGATCGGTCTAGATTGATTGAGAGAGAGAGAGGGAGAGAGAGAGAGAGAGAAAGCGTGATGGACAGCAACAGCACGCGGCGGGCGCGTCGTGTGCTCGCGAGCGAAGTGCAGACGAGGCGGTCAGCTTCCTTCGATGCACCGTCTTTGCTTTTGGACCTGCTCTCACTCAGACACAGATCGTTTGGTCCCAACAATCGTGCCTTGGCGCCGTCGTCCCTCTTTGCTTCTGATGATGACAGCAGGGGAACGCACGCCACCTGTCTGACAGCTAAGGTAAGGTAAGGTATGGAAAAAAAAAACCCCCCACTTGATCGACTTTTGTGATCGGGGGCTAGTGTGTCTCCCGCGCGCAGACGAAAGCCCTCGCTTGGCACGCGTTTGCGGACCGGCCGTCTGGTCTCTACTGGTAGGCGCTGTGATGGCAGACGATGGTGCGACGAGGCAAAAAAAGACGGCAAGCCTTGTCGAGTCGTAAAGCTCGGGTTTGTGTCACCTTTGACTGATGTCGGGGCGTTACAGAATGTGGAGGCGAAGCAGCGAACGATGTGCGAGGTCCGATGCGAGATACGCGGAGGAGGGGGAGGGGGAGGGGGCAGCGCATGCAATATGCAGTGTGCCAGCAGCGACCACGCGAGTAGCACAGCAGGGCGCAAGGTGGTCTGATGCTTGTCAATGTGAGGGAGCCTGAAGAGCCTGACCGGCTCTGTCGCGCCTCTACGGGCTCTGGCTTGTTTTGGGCTTCTGCGGCTGTTCTGAGCTGTGCTTTTCCTTTGTCAGGGAGGGGAGGATGACGTTGGGCAAGCCTGGTCTACTGCCGGAAAGAGGGTGGTTAGATAGCGAACAGCACTAACGAGCTGGTTGGCAGAAGACGGCTTCCCAAGGTCCTCGCACGAGGCGAATAATAAGAACAAGACGTACTGTGCGGTAGAGTTGACAGTTGCAATTGGCAGTGGAAGTGTCGAGGCTGAGGCTAGGCAATCAGAGCTCAATGTTTGTCGTCGATTTGGCTGCCCAAAGTGAAGCAGAACTCCTGACGACGTCAGATGTCGAGAGGTGAGGAGCGAGGTCGACGGCTGTACAGATATGGTCGTTTTCGGATGTCACGGATGCGAGAGCTGAGAAGGGACGCGCGCACTTGATTTCGGCTTGGCGACAACCCAGTCCCAGATTCTTGACCAATGTTTTCCCTACCGCGTCGAGAGTCAAACAAAAACGTGAAGATGCAGTGCAAGGTAATTCTGCCCAGCTTCAACCCATCCCACACCGGCCGGCACTTGAGGGGGGGGACCTTAGTAGCATCCAAACCGCCGGCATCTTCGGAAACGCAGATGGCCATGCCACGGGGCAACGCGGCGGCATTGACCCCTAAGTAGGGACTTACAATGAAGAGCCCCACGGCAAACCTACGGCCCAGCTCACCCTGTGCTCACCAACGTGAACCCCGGGCCTTCTTCTCTCAAGCCCCCCTCATACCAGCTGACTCAAAAACACCCCTCCCCCCGTGTTTGGTCTTTCGAGTGAAAAAAAACTTGTGGATCCGTGTCAAGGCAATCAAGACGGGGTCGGGCATCCTGTCAGGCCGATGTGTTTCCCTTCCAAAAGGGCGGTCGCGTGGGCCGTTTTCGGTGTTCACGGCCTTTTCAAAGCCTCCGGTCCATCCGTCCCCTTGTGCCAGGGGGGGTATATTCGGTGCAAGGACCCTTCACCGATGGGCTGGCCGGTCGCGAGCTCGGTGCCGAGTTACTTGTTGTGAAGCTCTCCGCGCCGCTTGGCCACTCGATAAAGCTCCCACGTTCCGTTGAGAAAGTCCATTCATGCTCGAAATTGTGGTCCTCGTCTCTGATTTCTTTATTTTTTTTTATCTTCCTATTCGAGTCCTTGCTCTTTGGTAAGGTAGCAAAGGGTAATGAAGTAGGGCTTTCAATCTGCTGCCGCCCAACCCGCCCACCCACACCTGCAGCGGATCTGCCGGCAGGTCGAGTCGCGAATCTGGTGAGCAGCGAATGCGAACACGGGCGGCTACTGTACTGCTTGCGCTGGAGGGTACCTCGGGACGTATATTTGCTTGGCAGATGGCGAGCTGCATTGATCGAGGCCTTGGGCATAGGGCTTTCTCTGACGTGCCATCCATTGAAGATGACTGGGGCTGATGGCACGGTTCGGTCGTCTGCAAGGTCCGTCTGACCACGAGCTTGTACCATGTAGGGCAGTTTCTGGTGCATCTGACAGATTCGGCGTCTTGTTCCATGTGGAGTGCTAGACTTTCGGAGACGGGGTTGCCATGTCGCCGACCGATCGAGCTCTGGTGATGGGGCCTGGCATGAGTTCGGCGAGGTACATGTACTGGGTGCTTGGTTCTGTACTGTGATGTACCTTAAAGTGGTGGGTTTTTGGCGACCGACGTGGGGCTCGGCGTTGACCCTTGCTTGCCTTGCTGCCTTGTCAGCTTGGAGATTACCTAACCATCCAGCAGGAACCATCCGTGGAATGTTCCTTCCTCCCAAAGCCTTGGTCCGTGCTTCCTGTTGAAGTCGCCGTGGAGTTGGAAGCTGGCGGCTGGGAGCAGGAGCAGGAGCTGGACCTGGACCTGGACCGAGCTCGAGGCATCCACCTAAACTCCATCGTCGGCCAAAACACACCACACGACTCTTATCAGCCATCAATCTGGCTCGTCCGTCGGCGACCTGAACCGGGACCTTCCGCTCTTTTCCGAACTGTTCATGCATCGACTGCGTTCTGGCTGAGCCAAGCGTCTGGACATTATCAGTCTAGCCAGTCCAGTCATCGACACGGGTGGACAGATCGTGTGCCCCCCCCCCCCCCCCCCCCCACGAAATAAAATTTTTTTGAAGGAGGCTCGCCTTTTTTCCCCTCCTTGGGGGGGGCGAAAATTCTCCTGGTGGCCCCCGCCCCCACCACTTCCTTGGTTTTTTACCAATAAACCAAAAAAACTTT